AAGTGAGAAAACTTGTAGGTTGAGAGGCAGTTTAATAGGTAAAGCAAAAGCTGCTCTTCCAAGAAAAGCAAAACAAGGAATTCATTCACCACTTCCCATTGGAAGGCAGGTGTTCAGCCATCTCCAGGAAAGCAGGGCTCCATTACGCCTAATGGTTACCTGGAAAGACAAACTCCCTAACTCTGAATATCCCCCTCTTCCTTCTTCTTCCCCCAGCTTCATATGCTGAGCATGACATCATATGGTATGGAGTATCCCTTTGGTCAGTTGGGGTCAGCTGTCCCAGCTGTGTCACCTTCCAACTTCTTGTGCACCCCCAGCCTACTCGCTGGTGTGGTGATGTGAGAAGCAGAAGAGGCCTTGACTGTGTAAGCACTGCTCAGCAATAATGAAAACATCCCTGAATTATCAACTCTGGTTTTAGCACAAATCCAAAACATAGCCCCATACTAGCTACTATGAAGAAAAGTAACTCTATCCTAGTCAAAACCAGCACATATTTGTAGAACTGTATGGAACAAACCTGTCTAATTATTCTGGGCTAGCTGGTGCTTTATTACGCATTCTAGGTTGGTACAAATAATGGTTTGGTGTATAATGGAAACAGTGTCAGTTTATTTAAGAAAATCTTTGTCAAACCCTTTGACATGGTCATCCATGGTATATTTGTAGTCAAATTAGTGAGATATGGGCTGGCTAAGTAGATGATAAGGTGAGTGGAAAATTGGTGGGTCCATCAGGCTCAGAGGGATGTGGACAGATGTCCAAAGTTGGAGTGGTAGTTGTTGATTAGTCATGTCCCTCAGGAAGTAGTACTCGGCCAGTACTGTTTAATGAATTTATTAATGACTTGTTTGATGGGATAGAGTGCACTCTCAGCAAGTTTGGGTAATGCCAGATTGGGAGGAACACTTGATTCCCTAGTGGACACAGCTGCCATTCAGAGAGACCCGGCCAAGCTGGAGAAGAGGGCTGAGAAGAACCCCAAGAAGTTCAGTAAAGGCAAATGCAAAGGGGTACACCTAGAATGAAATAACCCCGCGCAACAGAACAGTCTGGGGACTGACTGCTATTTCCAGTAGCAGCAGTACAGACTGCTAGAAAGCTGCTTTGCAGAAAAGGACCTGAGAGTCCTGGTGAGCAACACTGAATGTGAGTTAGCAGTGTGCCCTTGCAACAACTACCCCATTCCCCACTGCCCAACCTAGTGGGCTCTATGGACAAAAGTGCAACCAGCAGATGGAGGGAAGTGATTCTTTTCCTCTGTTCGGCAGTTGTGAGACCACATCTGGTATATTGTGCCCAGACTTGGGCCTCCCAGAACAAGGAAGACGTTGATATACCACAGTGAATACAATAGCTAACTACTGGCTAGTGGGGTCTGGACAGTCTGATGGAGCTGGGTTTGCTCAGCCTTAACAGAAATTTAGAGGGAGGCCTTTATTGCTGTTTACAGCTGTCTACAGGGAGCGTAAAGAAGATGGAGCCAAACTCTTCTCAGAGGGGCTCAATTACAGAAGCAGCAATGGACACAAGTACGAGATATATTCTAGTGAAACCTAAAGAAAAGCTTTTTTGCCATGCTGGTGCTCAAGCATTGGAATGGGACCCCAGAGGGATTGTTGAATCTCTGTCTTTGTGGATACTCAAAACTCAACTGACTATGGACCCAAGCAACCTCATCTAACTGGCAGGGGCTTAGGATAGCTGACCTCTAGAGTTCTATTCCAACCTAAGTTATTCCATAATTCTACAGGCAAGACTGGGCTAATCCTTGCCTTGACCTGCTCCTTCCTTATGGAGCTAAGACAAGTCACTTCCTCTGAGAGAACTGGGCCCTCCAGAGCAAATGTCATCTGCTTTTTAGCTCTTCCTGGAAATATTTGTTTGGCAATTGGCAATGGTTTAACAAAAATGGGTTAACAAGTAACCTTTCACTTAACATTTCAGGCACGGCAGGAAGCTGTCTTCGTAAATTTAGTACCATGCCTTTCTTATTCTGCAATATCAACAACGTATGTAACTTTGCATCAAGGAATGACTATTCCTACTGGCTGTCCACTCCTGAACCCATGCCAATGAGTATGGCTCCTATCACTGGTGATAATATCAGACCATTCATCAGCAGGTACGGTTTCAGTGCTGCTGTGTTTGTAAGATGAAGAAGCCTGTGAAAAGTGCATATGGAACTTCAATTTTTTGGAAAAGGCTTTTAATCTGTATATTTTTATTTCCTGCCTTTAAATTTAGAGTTCCTTTGATGAAATGTTTCAAAGGGTGCATGTTTTCAGTTTAGACTTTGATCAAAAATAAATCCATTTTGAGGGAAGCCCAAACAAATAGAGCAGTCTGTTCTGAGTCTAATTGAAATAAAAAGATTTACTTTGAAATGATGTTATGCAAAAGTTATGATGTACTTTGAAGAAGAAACAGTTTTGAATTTATTCACAATTCTTGTCCAAAACAATTCTTCTTTTTTTGACTAGCCATAGCTAGAAGCTTTTTAGGGCTCAGTTTCCTTTTGTTTGAAAACGGTAGCATTATTTATCATACAGTAGACAGCCAGGCTTCCATTGTTTTGGACATACCGCTTGAACACAGCCATTATTGTCTGAATTAAAGGAAACAGTTGCAAAATCAATCATCTATTTTTTAATAATTCCAGATTCTCAGATAGCATAAACTGTAGCACTTATGTCAGACATAACTGTTTTGCATCAGTCCAACATATTGAACTTTTGGTCCGTTTTAAATTTTAAGTCCACTAGCAAAAACCATCCTGGCATAATGTGCCCAGTGCTGAAGGCAGGAATGTGAGCAAGAGTGTGGTGAACTGTACCACTGTCTTTAGATAAGAATCTGACAAGGGAACCTCCAACTTAAAACTTAAATAATAATCATTAGATATAGATATTACTGTGATTGCTATCATTGCTTCTAATCTCTATCAGCTCTTTCTGATCCCTCTTCCTGACATATAAAGTGAATGGGAGTGGAGATTGCTGTTATTGTTTTCTCGGGTCTGTGTATACCACTTGATATTTATTTTGCTTAATAGAACCCATCTTGTGTCTGCAGTTGTACTCTGTATTCTATTGGTTTAGTGCCACAGAAATTGGTATGACTTGAAAATGAGTGGGCAGATAGAGGGCAAGATTCTCAAGAGAGACTATAGTTTTTCTTGGTCTTACTTTTTTGGTTGTTCTTTGGGTGTGAATGGAAGGAGCTTGACTTTAAGAAAAATTCAAATGACTAACCTCTGAAATTCACGATCCTTTTACACCATCCTTGATCAGGCACCCAAAATAGCCTTTAACAATCACTTTCAAAACTCTTGCTCAAGGAGTTACCCACCAATGTTTTGCCTTACCTTATGAATATAGAGTAGCTTTTGCACCGTAAAAATATATGCATATATATGTGCATGTGTGTGCCTATGGGTTGTTCTCCTTTCAGCCATAGCAGAGAGTGAGATAATTGTAATACGCATTTTTTAAACCAGCAAGGAATCTCAGAAGGCTATTCTTCCCATTCATTTTATTAGTTGAGGATTTTAAACCAACAGTTTTCCCTGGCCAAAAGTTGAAAAGTTGTAGAAGTGTCACTTGCTGCCTTGGGTCATGGGACTTCTTTTCATGTAAGGCCTTCCACTGAAATACCAGAAATCTCTTGAAGCAAAGCAGAGCTCCAAGAATAGAGGCAGCTTTACATTCTTCTTCTAACTTACTCTTTCATTGATGTGCTGCTTAAAATAACTGTTTTGCTTCTGCACTAAAGGTGTACGCAGTAGGTATGAAAGCAGTCTTCACAAGTCAGAAATAGAAGGCTTTCATTCTGAATTCCTTTGCTTCTGTGCATTTTCCAGAATCCATCTTAATCCGTCTTGAATTTGATTCTTTTCACCGCTCTGATAATAGGAATCAGACTGTTTAGTTCTAAGTATCTGTTTTGAATCATTTTCATCATTGCTAACTGCAGTAGCCAATTTAGGAGTTGTAGAAGAAAAAATGGATTATATCTACCAAATTCGTTATTACCAGCTCCCGTATTAAAATTTCCAGCCCAACTCACATTTCTATGATTCCCCTGTGAAGGCACAGTTGGTCAGTGGATTATTCAGTAAGCTAGCAGTTCTGAGACACAGAACTGCTGAAGTGAAAGAACTGGTGCTGCATAGCTTTCTGAAGAGTTGCTTTCAAGTTCTTTGTTCCAGTTACTTTGCTAGAAATCTCTTGCTGGAGATAACAACCACAAATGTAAATAAAAGCCACTTTCAAGGAAAACACATGGGGAAGAGTCTGCATTATATTAAATTAACAGTGATTACCTTTGTAAGATATTTTCCAGAGGGATGGCTTTCTCTCTGGGAGTCACTCAGGGCTGTGTTTAGGATGATGAATTGCTGTTACTTGTCTCTGATCACAGTAGACCACTTTTAAGTGACACTTGCTGAGTTACAATGTTTGGCTATTTGCCTCATGTTCATGACATTGAGCACTTTTAGAAACTACAGTACAAATGGGACTAGAAAAAGGCAAATACATTTAAATATTCAGATAAGAGATCTCTTCTTCTTTGTTCATAGGAAGGCTAATAGGAATAGGACTTAATAGTTAAGCTGTTGTAAATGAGGGGAAAAAAAAGAACCAGCTGGTTGTTTTTCTAAATGAAACATTTTGATTTTAATTTGTTTTTGAAGGTGACAACATTTTATAATTCAAGATTCCTTAAAGCAAGTAATTTCTGAAAAAAGAAGAGGTATTAATCCTTCAGGTGTATGTAGCTCATTCATGTCTTGGTCTTTCTAGATGCTCTGTGTGTGAAGCTCCAGCTATGGTAATAGCTGTTCACAGTCAAACAATTCAAATACCACCATGTCCTGAAGGCTGGAGTTCACTTTGGATTGGTTACTCCTTTGTCATGGTAAGTGCACTGGGACATACTCTGAGCTGAGAAAAGCATTTCTTTCAGGCGTTTGATCTACACTCCTGCTCTGGGAAAGGTCGTATCTGATGATGTCACTTCAGGTCTTAGGAGGGCATTAGACCTCTACCCTCTCTGCTGACTTTAAAAAGATTCTGGCTAATTACTAAATGACAGTAATGCAATAGCAATTGGTTGTTCACTTTTGGAAAGGCATACAGCTTGCTCTCTTGTTTGCAGCTTCAGCACAGGATCCAAGTGCTGAATAAATGAGGAAACAAGCACAATTTTCCACTGTCCATCTACATCTATGTTGCAGTAGCTTCCTAGAGTGGTAGCGTATCAGTGTCTGTCCTCTTCCCATTTTTTGATGAATAAGCCTTCAGTTTTCAAATGGCATTTTTGACCTTTTATCCAGTTTCTTCAGCTGTATCTATACTAGTAAAATTAATAGGGCCAAGGACTGGCCTGGAAGAACCACTCTGTAAGTCCTCCATAGTGGCTAGTTGTTAGCATGCTTCCTGTCACGCTCAGAGCCTGTATCAATAGCCACTCTCCCACGCAAGGTCTGGTGCATGGTCTGAGAAACGGCATGGATCCAGAGCTGTTGGCCCTTGGCAGTGGGAGAGAAGCCACTGTGATGTGGGGGCAGGAATTTGGTTAAGCTATTCAGATATAAACCATACCAGTCTGTATGCCTTCTGGCCCTGGCCAGAAGAGAGCTGGAGAGCTGGCCTGGGCCTGTTGCTAGCATAGAGATAGCTTGGGTCCTGCTATCAGTCCTGAAGGATTTCTGTGCATACAGCTGCCCTGAAGTTGGTGTTGATGGTGTGTTATGCTGCCATTAAGCTGGAGAACCCAGTGCCCCCTCTGGAGCCCTTCAGCTCTACCGTCTTGTGCCTTTTGCTGAGGGACAAAACAGCAGACGGACACAACAGAGGACAAGGAGACGCATGTGAAGAAATATTTGTGCAAGAGAGTTAATAGGTGTTGTAGCAGAAGAGATAAAGAATCCCTCTCTGACTTACGCTTTTGCATTTTTCTAGCACACCAGTGCTGGTGCAGAGGGCTCTGGCCAGGCCCTGGCGTCTCCTGGTTCCTGCCTAGAGGAGTTTCGCAGCGCTCCCTTCATTGAATGCCATGGCCGGGGCACCTGCAATTATTATGCAAATGCTTACAGCTTCTGGCTTGCCACTATAGAGAGGAATGAGATGTTCAAGTAAGTTCATGATTTATTTATCAGTATTTGAGACTCAGTCAAGCCTTGTCACTGAATAAAAGAAGTATTGTTTGAATGTAATACATGGTTCAAGTATTGGCTGTGCCCCAGCCTGGTTAGTATATGCAGTTAATGATTTTCGCAACAGAAAGAAAAAAAAAATAGCTTTTTGAGGAATTAATGAATGTATCTTCTGTTAGTGTTTACAACGAGTCATTTGTACCTAGTATTTTGCTTTTCAGAATAATCTAACAATGTTTGCATTTCCACTATGTTTGATTGTATGCACTGAGTCGTAACTGGGATAGGCTGACACACTGATTGAAATTAAGTTAGCCTATAACATTCCCCCTAGTGGATGTTAACACATAATAGAACCACTTGAAATTAGTGCAGGTGTTGAACTAAGTGAGCTGAACAATTATTTACCTTTCCCTAGTCTTGGAGGAAGTATGTCTGAATAAAATGCAGCTGAAGGCAGAGGCCTTAGGCCTTTCTTCAGTCCTGCTGAGGTTCTAATTTCAGGAATTAAGTGGTCGTAGGCTTTGTTCTGGTCTCCTGCACATAAGTATTTTTCAACACTGTCTAATTTGTTCCATATGAATTTTATTAATACGTTAGCGTATAGAACAGTTCCCAGGTCTTCATAGCTTACCTGATTAGCAGACATTCCTCTGGAGTGCAGGCAAGCATCCTCTTCCACTGCAGCCCAGGCTGCTGCTCCTGGTGCCCTTCATCTGGGATCCTTCATATCTTCATGTCTTCTAGATCTGTGAATGCTCCCTAGCCTGTCTCAGTCACAGTTAAGCAGGTTGTTTAGACAGTTTTTACTATGAGATAGTTGTTAGCTGAGTAGGTAGAAAAATAGAGCACTGGGGCTGTGACGATCTCGTCAACCAGAAAAGCTACTACTGAAAGAGCCCATTTGCCAACACTGGGGTAAACACTGTCTCCCTAGGAAAGAGGAAAGCTGGTCAGAGGAAAATTTAGAGGAGTCAGCACTACAGTTGTTTGTATTCATTGAGTCCTACCCAGAGACCTGTCAACTTCATACCCTTTTCTGGCTACAAACTGTATCTCAAATTAGTAAAATAACACAAGGTCAGGGGACCTGTCCTACTATCATAATTCACAAATACTTTTCAGTTTCCTATAAACTCGTGATCATTTTTAAAGAAAGGTGTTAAATGTAAGCACACGTTTGTCTGAAAATGCCTTATTTCGAGCTGCTAGGAGTAACTCCGTATGATATGTTAGAGACCAAAGATTTTGGTTTGTCTTTCTGTATGACATCACATAATTTCCTTTGCTGACTTTTCATTTTTCTGTGAAGTCACAAGAGTTAGCAGAAATTCATGAACAGTCAGATGTCTTCAGTTTCTTTGCCTAGTTTTTTTTTACTACTCAAATTCCAGCATGTTTTCAAACTGCTGGTTAAACAGGTAGTGTCTTTTGGTTAAGAAGATGTTCAGCCTCGTGACAGAACTGAATTATGAAGTAACTGGAAGCAGACAATATTTAAAACTAATCTCGTGATAGTTTGTGACCAATCTTCAAAGTGACTATACGTAGGAGAACTTAGGGACACGTTCTTGATTCAGCACAGCTTAAAGAGCCACTTGGCTGCATGCCAAGTTTGTGTTGTCAATTATAAACCTGAAAGCTGACTGTTTATATCAACGACTGTTAATGGGTCTTTTCATTTGTTTATTTTTAACAGGAAACCGACTCCCTCAACTTTGAAAGCAGGGGATCTGCGCTCAAATGTTAGCCGTTGTCAAGTCTGTATGAGAAAAACATAATGACTTTTGAATTTCAACTAATTTCACACAATATGGTGCTATTCGTTTAACAGCAATGAAGCCTAGACATATATCATATGTACCTCATTGTTGTCCAATATGAAAACAGTAAAGTGCCTTTTAGGAACTTGCATAACTAACACACACTGCTTTACTGGCCCTGTCCTTGCTGAAGAAGAAAAGAGACAACAAAGATAAGCTTCAAATGTTGACAATGCCAAATGGCACTTTTGATCAAAATATATCTATTTTTTATATAAATGCAATGCACTGATAGAATAAAAAGTCAGCATTTATCCAGAAAAAATGCAAAGGTGCTAGGAGGTATGCAGTTCTGCCTTATACTGTTTGACCCCCCTTTCTCATTCTTGTATTATATATTTAGATTCATTTTTCTTCCCCAGATAAGTTTGTTGTTACCGTTATCTAGGTGTCTCAAAGTCCCAGGCTCTTGGGTATGTACTTATTGTTCCTGTACAAAGCAATACTAATGTAAAAAAGAGTTTTGGGATTACAGACTGTGGTTAAGCAACATGTAACCATCTTTTCACAACATAGAGTGCCATCCTGCAAACCTTTGCTTATGTTTGTAGTCTTTAGTGGTAGTCTATTGGTTTTAATGGGACTACATCTGGAAGAGATTGCCAAATTGGTTTCCCAAATAGGCAAGAAAGTGTTTCTGCTATGTTGGTACTATGCAGCTTCTTTATGCAGTAGAACAAACTTTCCTGTGGAATAAAGAATGATCCAGCAATGGTCAAGAAAAAATATATATATAAATATTTTAGTAATTTATATAGGTATCAACCATTAGGCAAATCAAGCTCGGAGTTTATAATTTCAAAAAGAAGCTTACAAAAGTTTTCTTCTTTTCAGTGTCATGAATTAGATGTTAAATGCCAAAATATGATGTGAAATGTTCATTTTACATAGGCCATTTCAATGCTGAAGTTGCAGAGACTGAACCCAGGTTAACAGCTATTTGTGTTTATTATAGTAAATCCTGCTTTGAGCTTATAGTCTTTATTCTGTATTTAATATTTTTCAGGGTTTTAAACACTACTCACACACTGAATGACTTGATTTTGGAAAGTATAAGGCCTTACTTTTGTTAATATTGTGCCAAAAAAACTCTTCAAAGTGGCCTCAGAAATATTTCTAAAGAATTTCTATGCAATAATACCATTGTTTGAGCATGTCTATGTCCAAAAGTGTTTTATAGACTATTACCATGCAAATACCAAAAGATTTTTGCAAATGCCAAGGCCTTTGTATAATTTCTTACATGTGTATTTCTTAAGGATTCAAGTTTGTAATAAAACTATTTGTGTAAAAAAAACAGAAGACAAGAAAAAGTTTTTACTAATTTGTTACTAGCATTCATTTACAGCAATGAATTAATTTTTATAAGCCACCAATAAATGCACAAGCTTGATGCAATCCTAGATTATTTTTGTTTTGCACATCTTTCAGATGTACAAAGCATCTTCAAGAGGGGAAAACAGGACGCTGTATTGATGCTTCTAGTGTTACCTTGTAAGAACTGGTACTGAGAGATAACACATGGGTTATGCATCTATTACTGAAATATGTTTGATGTGAACACGTCACAAAAATCTGCTAACTTCATCTTAGCTCATGAGAAGCAATCAAGTTATACACAGTTTTCACCCTTGAATTTTTCATGCACAGATCAGAACTGAATTATACAGGAAAAAATTAAAATATCTCATAAAATTTTGCCTTGAAGTGGCAAGGTGAACCTTGCCTCTGGTTGTCTGAAGAGGGAGTGGGCCATGATATCTTTTTCCTTGGCAAAAGCACATAATTTATTAATGTTTCATGTTGTTTTCACAAATTTGTGAAGAGGCTGCTGCTGTTCTGAACTCACTGTCCCTTAAAATCCTTGAGGACATTGGCTGGCCAAATGACTGAGGGACCCTGGATGGAAACTGGCCATTTCATTTAGCACCGATTCTTAACTCGCATGGAAGTTTTGACAGATGATCATTTTATTTGTCCTCCCAAAAGTCCCTTACCAACCTATAGAATACAAGAGTCTGGCTATGTCTAATCAACCAGACACAGGGTTCGCCAAAGTGCCACTCGTTATTCGGAAGAAGAGGAGAAGTCTATAGGGTGATTCCTCGTGGTGTCTAGGAGGAATTAAACAGACATTCAGCCTTCTCTAACTTGGAGGATCCAAGCTGCCGCTCAGACTTTTAAATCGCACTCTACAGCTTATCTCCTGGTCAGCTAGGGATGTGCTTGGTTCGAATTGTCTCAGAACTGCCAGACAGTTGAATTTGTAAGTTCCTGCATGTAGGTTTAAATCAAATGTGTGTGTAAGAATACAATTCCTTGTGCTAGCGAAGGGACTAGTCACTGCAGCTGTGTTTTGTCAGCTGGGAGCATTTTGGAAACAACGTCCTTTGGAAAATTTCAGAAACTTTGTTTGAGCTATAGTTGGATATCCTAGTTTGATGTCTGTCTTATCTCACAGTAATTATTTATTCCATAACCTCCAGCTCATAAAATGACCTAAACTGTTGCCATGCTAAAGATGCTATTTCTACTTAAGTCAGTGAGTAATCTTTTTGGTGGTTATCAAATACCAATGAGATCTACTGAAAATGTTGTGAACGCTAGGTTTTGATGCCCTGGTGAGGAAGCACCCGTGTACTAAAGGAGAACTGAAGCGCGAAACCCTTTCTTGCCTTCAAAAATCTGTAAGTACCCCGTGCTCAGCCATTTATGGCCAGCATTGTTGCTACAGTGCAGTTCATTGTGTGAACAGGCAACTGCAAATGCGTAATTTGTTAAAACTGTCTTGCATAACCTTAGATTTCAGGAGAAAGCTTTCCTAAAGAAGTACAGCTTGTTTAGTAGGCCTGGCTGGTTTTAAGTGCAGTACTTGAAGAGTAATTTTCATGACCCAAATAAATACATTTCTAAAGCAGCAGGTGGTGCCCTGGCTCTCTTTATGGTGAGATTGGTGCTAATAGCCTCACACTAACAAACAAGTGCCGCCTTCTCTGATCCATGAAAATGTAAAGCAGCCTGACAGTGCTCCCTTTTCCTGAGTCTGTGTCTCTATTTTGACATGTTCTAGTTGCCAGCAATTTTCCTGCAGATGCCAAAACAGTGCATAACAAAAAAAAAAAAAAAAAAAAAGAGGAAAAGATCTATATGTAAAAAAAAAATCAAAACAGAATATAATGAAATAATCCAATATATATTTTGAAACAAAGTGTCTTTTCTGATAGATGTACATTCAGTTTATAACGATATCTTTTATCCTCTTCATAGTGGTAACTTCCTTGATGAAGGAAGTTGAAATACATGATGAAATACACTTTTCTCTATTAAACCAGACTGCTGACAACACTATCCCCACACTAGGCTCCTTGAGAAGCAATTGTATTAAAGCCATAAGTTTTTATGACTGAAATGATAAAGCTGCATGACTTTTTGAGAATTCCTTTTATGTGGAACATAAACTAGTTATATAGTTACTAGTGGTCACTAGTTATGTAGTTACTAGTGGTCAATGGCTCAATGTCCAGGTGGAGCTGTGTGACAAGTGCTGTCCCTCAGGGGTCCATACAGGGACCAGTACTCTTTAATACCTTCATCAGTGACATAGACAGTGGGATCGAGTGCACCCCCAGCAAGTTTGCAGATGACACCAAGATGAGTGGTGCAGTTGACACACCTGAGGGACAGGAGGCCATCCAGAGGGACCTGGACAAGCTCGAGGAATGAGCCTGTATGAACCTCGTGAGGTTCAACAAGGCCAAGTGCAAGGTCCTGCTCCTGGGTTAGGGCAACCCCCAGCATCAGTACAGGCTGG